AATTTCTGAATAAATTTGCCTTGCAGAACCCTCCCGATTGGCAGGAAATTCTGACCTATTTTAGAGGATCCGAGCTGCAAAACTACTTTACTCGTATCCTTGAAGATAATCTAAAGGTAAATTCTGATTATAGATTTCTCTATGACATGCACTCTCATTTTCGGCCTTTGATGAAATACACCTGCCTGAAATTTAATTGATAATTTTCATGTATGCCATGAATGAAGTAGCGCATCATTTAGTAATAAATCTAATTAATATGGCTTGATAACTGTGTTTGTTTAAATTGTCTCCATTGCCATTGGTCTGGGTTTTTTTTCTCTTTTTTAGCGCCAATTCGATTAATAATCCACGATAATATATCTCCTCAAGTATATGTGTCTGACTAATCTTACTGATGTTTAATGGTGAGCATATTTGTTAATGAATTGCATTATCGACCTTAAAACATTGTCTAGCACAAGTTGGCTTATTGATTGATAGCTTTGTATTATTTAGTTCCTTTTTTGGCACAATTATTGATATACTTTTGCCGAAATAACTTGTATCATGGTGTTAAATACATTGAACTTGATTACATGCAATTTCATTACCATTGCTCCATCCAACCTTATATGTGACTTTTCTATTTGCTTGCTTATTATTGCTTCTACGATTTAGTATTTTGGTTAATTATTTTGCTACAAACTTATCGCAGTGCATTTTTCCAGGCAATTATCAAGCCCCAGTATGTCGACCACATCCCGAAAGCTGTGCAGGGTAATGTTGGGCAAGTTCTCTCCCAAAAAGATGAGAGAGACATGAAAGAAGAACTTGGTATTGATCTTGAGTTGAGTCAGGTTATGGACCGCAATGTGGGAGATTTATCCGGTGGGGAGCTTCAGAGATTTGCAATAGCTGTTGTTGCCATACAGAATGCTGAGATCTTTATGTTTGATGAGCCTTCGAGCTATCTTGATGTGAAACAGAGGCTCAAAGCTGCCAAAGTCATCAGATCTTTACTTAGGCCTAATAGGTCTGTGGTGTTTCCCTGTCAACTTTTGTTAGCTTTTGAAATTCCATCTTTTTAGTGAGGCCTTACTTGGTTATTGTATTTTTTCAGCTTTGTGATTGTTGTGGAGCATGATCTTAGTGTGCTCGATTATTTATCGGACTTCATCTGCTGCCTTTATGGGAAACCTGGTGTATACGGGGTGGTAACCCTTCCATTCTCAGTCAGGGAAGGAATTAATATATTTCTGGAAGGATTTGTGCCGACCGAGAATTTACGATTTCGAGATGAATCTCTAACGTTCAAGGTAGAATCATATTTCTATCCATATCTTAAGGGATTTTAGTTGTGATTAGATGACAGTTCTGAGTCTTGTGACTAATAAACTTTGTCCTACCAGGTTGCAGAGACACCGCAGGAAAGTGCTGAGGAAATTGAGACTTATGCAAGGTATAGGTACCCTACCATGACTAAAACTCAAGGAAATTTCAAGCTTAAGGTCATGGAGGGTGAATTTACTGATTCACAAATTGTTGTGATGCTTGGTGAAAATGGGACGGGAAAGACGACCTTTATACGGATGCTGGTATATTATATTTACTATTTTTTTAATTGAAGTTCAGTTTGTTATTCAAGCTAAAGTTGACGTCTTTGGAATGATAGGCTGGTCTTTTGAAGCCTGATTTAGTGGAAGGATCTGATGTTGAAATACCGGAATTCAATGTGTCTTACAAGCCACAGAAAATCAGTCCTAAGTTCCAGTCGACTGTTAGAATGCTTTTACATCAGAAAATCCGTGATTCGTATATGCATCCTCAGTTTGTATCAGATGTGATGAAGCCTCTCTTAATTGAGCAACTAATGGATCAAGAGGTTGTGAATCTATCTGGTGGAGAATTGCAAAGAGTTGCCCTTACTCTTTGTCTTGGAAAGGTTTACTTCTCTTCCATGTAGTTTCTGTAAATATTTTCTTAGTGATATTATGCCAGAGCTGCAAAAGTTTGGACCATATTTTAACTTTTAAGATTCCATCTATTTGATTCATGCTAGAAAATGATTTGATTTTCTTGTCTGAGCATATCTACCTCCATTGTCAGCGGAATATGAATTATATTGTATAGAAATGATATATTAATCTCCTGTGTTATCCATTTTCTTAATTGAAAAATAGGACTTGCATATGATCCAGCAAGACATTGTTTTAAGTGTCCAGTTGGATATGCATGGGCTTAAGTCATAACCTCTTGTAAAAGTTTCATTTATGGAGATATAATCATCCTTAGAAACACTGTAAATTGAGTCATAATGGCTTTGGATAATTTGGTGGTTTATTTCTGAAATCTGACGGATTTATTATTTAGACTTTAAATGGACTAAAGTGCATACATTTGTTTGCATTATTTCCTATGTTCTTGTATGTGTATGCGTGTGTGTGTGTGTATTCTGGATATTTCTTAATTTCTGTTTTGTCGGTTTTTGTTTTTATCTATTTATTTTTTGTATACTTGCAGCCTGCTGACATTTATTTAATAGATGAACCAAGTGCATATCTCGACTCAGAGCAGCGTATTGTTGCTTCAAAAGTCATAAAGAGGTTCATACTTCACGCCAAAAAGACCGCATTTGTTGTCGAGCACGACTTCATTATGGCCACATACCTTGCTGATAGGGTAATCGTTTACGAAGGGAAGCCATCCGTGGATTGTACGGCCAATCCACCTCAATCACTTTTGACTGGGATGAACCTGTTCTTATCTGTAAGCCTCTTCCATCCAATTTTTTATTTTTTGATATAAATTTTTTGGTGATCGTGAAACCCAATTCCTTGATTTTCTTACATTAGTGCCATTGCAAATTAAGGCATTTCAATTTTTGTGTGTAGCATCTGGATATAACATTTAGAAGGGACCCAACAAATTATCGCCCTCGAATCAACAAACTAGAGTCAACCAAGGACCGAGAGCAGAAGGCCGCTGGATCTTATTATTATTTGGACGATTAATGTGATTTATGGACATGTTTTTTGGGTTTTGTATTGCTTGCCAATTACATGAAGAATGGTGTAGACTTGCTGGAAAAAGAGTGGCAGCCGCTTCTTCCATCAATCTGTTGTATCTCAAACAAAGTTTTTCTCAAACAGGGTTTTTGGTGTCCCCCAGTAGAAATAGTGAAATTTTTTGTTAGAGAAAATGATGACATTTGTTTTCGAGAATGTGGAAGAATTGGAATTCAGATACAATGAGCAGTTGGATATCTTAAGGTAGGGAGAAGGGTATATGGATAATGATGATTTGTATTTTTGTTGCCTGACTTTTGAGTTTTGGAGCAACTGTTTTGCATTTATTTTTATCTTTACAAATACAATAATTTTGATCTCACAGAAAATATGTAATAGTTTCCCTGGATTCTGCATGTCTATATTTTTTTAATTTTTTTTTCTGATTTATAGTATTAGCTGTTTTGATTAACAAATAGTATTAACAATATGTCAAAAATGTTTGGTAAAATTAACGATTTGAAATTAGTTGTTACTAAATTATTTTTAAGTACAATCCAATATTTTATTTTATTTAATGTTACAATAATTACAATAATTTATATTTTTTTGCAAATTTAAAAAATAAAATTAGGAGTTACACTTTAAAATAAAAATGTAAATAATTTCCTATCAATCATGAATTAAAATTTACATTTTTGTTTATTTACTCTGAATACTATATACTAATGAATTGAAAATAATTAGCTTTTGTAATGCTAAAACGCACTACTATTGCTTCATTATTATTTTAAGAAACAAAATATTTGGTCAACCATATATGCATTCTTATAATGTAGGTAAGATTTAAATAGTAATTAAATAATAAAAAAAATATGAGATCTAATTAAATAGTAAACAAAAACCTGACGTCATCACGAAATGTTTTGAGCTGCATGATTTCAAAATTTTACTTTGATCTTCTAAATCTAGCCATTTGAAAATATTCGTAATGTTGACTGCACAACTCTAACAAATCAAAGGATAGAATTTCTCTTTTCCCAATAACAAAAACTCTTTCAAATTCGATAGAATTATAGCAACAGTGATTCAGTAATAACAAGTAGGTGTTTAATATCCTGGCAACCGCCACCTAAAAAGAAACTCAAACTATTTTGGTTCAATTGCTTAGTACAATATGCCTAATATCTTTTAGGCAAATAAAAGCTCGAGTCATCCTAAATTCCTAAGATTTAATAGAATGTCGTGAGATAGTGACGCATGGGACAGGTCAAATGAAGGGCATCTTGATAATACAGTCAAGAGGGACCATAGTACAAATATATAATGAAGATAAACAATGTTTACTACAAAAGCCAACCAACCTTAAGTGTTAAATTAGTCTAAACTAATGTGATTTAACATTTCTAAAGCAAAGCTATCAGTACAACCAGTTGCCAGCCTTTCATAATTGTCTGAGTTAACGTACGTGGCTCTATGTCAGCAAGATTCATGTGTAAACAAACATGGAACAAAACTTGCCTTAATGCTCTGTTTTAATAGACATGCTCACTCCAAAAGCTATTTGGCAAATAGACTAAGTGGAATAAAAATAGCACGGCTTAAACCTAGAAAATAAAAATTCAAAAGGAAGCTCCTCAGATTAGATTCTCAATGTGTCTGTGAGCTCATATACCCTTTCTCAATACTGTGCATGTTAAGAGTACATGCGGGAAACATCCTATGTAGAATTGACATTTAAGATTGTGCTGCTCAACAAGACCATGTTCTAATATTATATCAAATAATTGGAGGACGAGTAGCTAACAGTACGAAGTATTTTATTTTTCATACGAACTTTAATGGACTGCTACTCTAGTTGTCAAATGTAGCAGGTACAAAGCTGGTAATCATGACTGCATTTAACTTAATTTTTCCTCAATCTGACTTTGATTCAATCAAATAATTATTTAAGTTATTAGAAAATCTTGTTTCCTAATGCATGAACGTATGATCTAGATAGGCAAATAAAAATTTGTTTCCTATTCAACTCCTCACAGAAATTAATAATCTCATTGTGATGGTTTACTCCCAGGAAAAACAGAAAGGGAAGGAAAAACCTTTTGAGCTGTTAACAAAACTTTAGAAGTTAGTAATACCTACATCAATCACAAAGAGAAGCCAATATAAAAGGGTCAAAGTACGATATAACAGATTCAGGAGACTTTACAGAAGAAAAGTACATAAACACTCAACACAAATAGCAACTAAAGTGAAAGCAAACTGATAAAGGTCAACTGGTCAAGCTATGAAGTTTATGTTAAGAAGCTTAAGTTTTAAGTAGTATACATTACGCTTTTCTAGACAATGCTGATTGGCGTCAGATATCAGCAAGCTCAGTATGGTGGTCATTATTGTAGTTCGATATTCTGGTCCTTAACTGTAGAATTGAACAGGAGACACTGTTTAGAGCAGCAGCATTACAACACACACACACATATATATATATATATATATATATATATATATATTTGTGTATATATGTGTGTGTGTGTGTGTGTGTGTGTGTGTGTAGTAAATGCAGATGAAAAGTTAAACAAGTATCTCCTAACCTCATCGACAAGGTTAGCAGCTCCAGAGAAGTCTTGCTTTTCTTTCTTGAGGAGTTCATAACGGGCTTCAAGTTTACGCTTCTGTTCCTCTGCCTAATAAGATAAGGAGTATAAAGAACTAATGGGTTAAAAAGTTCTAAAAATGACTCATGGATCAGAAAAATGATATTATCAAACTGGTAGGAGGATATGGTGTTGCATGGAACTGAAGCTTTAGTGATATAATAATATAAACAACACCAACAATAAAAGAAATAGACGAGGGTATAATTAGTATATCCAGCATTTCCTTACTAAATGAGGAAGATAAGGTAATGTGTCGATCAGGTACCCTGAAATTTTATATAATTTATATTGTTTGAACCATCCGTGGTACAGTATTTACGCTACTATTTATGAGAACAAGTATGTCGATAAAACCCAAGTGAAACTAAAAATACTATATATTCTTGCATTGGTGTTACTATTCCGTACTACCTTAGTAGAATTCATCAGCACCCTCATCATCATCATATAAAAATATACAGGATCATGATATGTTGTGCTCTTGCCATATAGAAGAGCGAAGAACAGGTAAATTCCAGAAATAAGATGATTGTTAATTTGTTATGAACATGCTGAATGAAAGCATCTTCTGAATATAAAATGTGGTGATGTAAAATGATAAAGACGGCCTTCAAACACCTGTATTCAGTGCAAACTATATATATATATATATATATAATTGTGTGCATTTGTATACCTTTTCCAAGAGACCCGTCAGATCTTTTATTTCATTTTTCTTTGCTTCCGACAAAATTTGAGCCGTCTCTCCTACATTACTCCTGCAGTAAATAGACATTTTTCTCTCTAAATTTCGGTAATTTCTATAAACTTAGACTGAGTTACATGAGTAGAATAAACAAAGACATGTATATTTTTTGCATTGGTCCAAAATTAGTATGAATATAAATGCTGTGCTAACTAGCATGTAGACAACTTGAAGTTCAGAGATTTGACATCTAAACTTCAAACTGGGGGGAACTCCTCAGACAAGTTATTTCTATAATATAAGCATGCGTACTTCTCTGAGATTAGAGGATCCAAATTATGTTCTTCCACTAGCTCTTCTACAGTGTCCAGGACTGTCCCTGCCTACAGAGAGACAAATTAAGTTCTGTAAACACCAACATGCGTCATATCACCAACCCAAAAGAATTATGTATGTATTATTATGCATGTAAGTAATAGAAAGACATAAACACAATGAACATAATCCATTAATCATCTCCATCAACAAGAAATTACGGGCATGGTACCAAAGAGAAGTGAGAAACATAATTTAAAGTACCAAAAAGATTGAAAATCTGTCACACCAACAACTGTAATTTATTTGGAATGTTAGGAGTCTAAAACTTCTACCAAAAGAAAAAACATTGAACATTACCTGCGTCTGGAGTAATATGGACTCAAATTCTTCCTGCAATAAGTGCGAGATTACAGTCACCATAATCATTTTCTTCCATGAAGTCAGTGTACAGTTATCATGCAAAGAGAAATTAAGTTTGCAAACATTTGGTTACAGAATTAACAGAAAGAAGCTTCTAGAGTTGCTCGTGACAAGAGCATTGTAAAAAGAATCCATCTCAAAGACTGAAATCAAGAGAAGTCTAAATTCTTACGAATGAAAATACAACAATTCACTAGTATAAAGATCAAAACATTGTAGCACAATCAAATATCTCCTCTCAATAAACATCATAATATTACTGCTATAAAGAACAACTGCAGATATTAATCCTAACTGACACGGCGGCAAAACAAATCATAACTAACAAGATACAGATAAGAAAAAGCTATCATGCACTTAAATGGTTAATAAATAGTTTGTGCATAAAAGTAGAAAGTTAATTCACATCACTGGTATGCTTGTACTGCAGGTATCGGCAGATACTCCTTGGAAATGGTAACGTATGGATTACAACTGTATATAGGTCAAAAAATAAGAAAATACAATATCAAAATAAAACATTAAAATGGAGCACTTCACACTAACAATTAAAATGGCACTCAGGTATTTGTCTTCCAAGTGAAAGGCTTAAGAAATTTTCATACCTGAATATTGTCATGCAGAGAAGAAATCACCTGCAACGACATGCAGTCATTGCATTAACAGAGAACCTAAATCTCTCAATATATGGAGATGCAAAGACATAAATGACTTCTTTTTTGTCAAATAACAACCTGGTAAATCAAAAACTTACTCCCTAAGGTTGCTACTAAGAACATTTCAGTTTCATATATACGCAAACATAGAAGGATAAAGCCCACCTTTCTGCTCAAGTTTATGGTGAGATAGAACCTTGTTTTGGCTGAGATACAACTCAGGACTACCATTTCACTTTCAAAGATAGTCATATTTTACTCTAATGCATATTCTAGCAGATAAACATTTCATAGCTCAACACAGTAACTATACAAATGCATAATGGTTTCAATAGCTCCCCAATTATGGATCCAATCTCCGGACCAAATAAATGAACTAAAATAAATTCACCCTGACATTAAAGTGAACATCTCTACTCTTGCACCAAAATCTCTAATACTTTCTGCCTGAAGCTTTATGAAATTAACTTAACGAAACTTTATGCAACATGAAAGGGCCCACGCACTAGCACACGCAGCATTTCACCTGAAGAAAGAGTCCATGGAGCCGCTCCCGCTCGGGTGCAGTAAATCCCGGGAATGCCTCGCGAAATTCCTATGTTGATCAAGAAAAATAAAAAAACAACCACCAAATGAGCTAATTTTCACCAAAAAATCTATAATATGCGAAAACTACAGTGAGAAAGAAAACCCTAACCTCATCGGAGCAGGCATTCAATAAGGAGCGCAATCCGAGATTGAATGATTTCTTCAAATTCATTTGCCTGGAACCTGGAAACGACTCGTTCTTTTCCATTTTCGGTTTCTGTAATAGTTTCGTTCTACAAATGAAACAAAGCAGCAGAGGGTGAGGGAAGAGAATAGGCGGGAGAACGAATTATTAAAAAGGCAGTGAAAACTTATAAATCTGGACTGGGAAGTGCAGAGAAAATTACCATAATTTTTTTTTTTTTGTTTTTATATATATATTCACACTTAAAGAAAATTCTATTTTCAAAGTGTAAATTTATTAACTGTAATGTTTATATGTAGATTTGACNCTTGTTTGTGAATGATGGAAAATGATACATTGACAACCTACAACTAGGTTGACAAACTATTGAAAAATAATATACAGAATAACATACAAGAAGCAATATAGGGAAAAATACAACAAATCCAGCAAAGCATGCTAATGCCAACACCTTATTTCAATATGAGTGAAAAAAACAGAAAGAAAAACACGACATGCCTCCTCCCGAAATTCGCTTTCTCATCTTCCAAAAATCCGCGAAAAACAAGAGAGAATAAAATAAAACTGAACAACAAAGCTTCATGGACTGCCCAAGAAACTGAGTAATCAAATGTCTAGCTCTCACTCTATTTCTACATATAGTATAAGATCTCAGAGCAACCCAGTACAAAATACACCAGAACTCACGACGTTCAACCCCAATCAGGCTTAACCTGCATCCGCATTCCTTTGCCAATCAATTGTGTCCTTATGTCACAACCCTATTGTCTCAGAAACAACTCCCATGCCATGCCCGTTCCATTGTTTGCGCAAGAACAAAAAAAAAAAACTCAGCTGAGCAAGTCCTTGAACAAACTCGGGTTCTGGCCCGATGGCATGAACCCCATCTGCCTCACGAGGGCATCCTTCTCCAGAGCTTCCTTTAAATTCGGCCCCTTATTGATTTGCTGTATGGTATTCTCCACATTACTTCCTCCTCCAAGACCATTCACGGACATGTCAGCAAACAGAGACATAAAATCAGAGGATGGCTTCACATCCAAATCAACTCCAACTCCAACTCCAACTCCGCCACCACTGCTTGCAGTGTCCTGGGAAAAGTCGAGAAGACCTTCCAATTCCTTGAAAGGGTCGAAAGACGACCCACCATCGCTACCCATAGACAACTCACCCAAGTCGAGCAAATCAGGTGGCGGTGGCTGGGATGCTTTGGGCTTTTCTTCCAAAGTTGAAGAAGCCTGATTCCGAGACTTCTGATGTCTCGACCCGCTGCCGAAGAGCGAGGCTGCCAACTTCTGCTTCTCGGGCGATATCTCCACTTCTTGCTGCCTTTTCAAATTGCTATTATTGCTGTAAGAAGAATCGTGGGCCCTCGAATTCGAACTGTCACTCTGAATCCTTATGTTATCCGTGCTTGAAGTGGATGGGGCGGGGGAGGGGGAGGAGGTGTAGGAGGGGCGGCCCCATTTCCTCTGGACCCCATCGAGCCGGAGCTTGAGCTCTGATTGGCCAGAATCTGAGAGGTGTTGAGTGGGTGCAGCTGATTGGGATGTAGAGTACGAAAGCTCTGGGACAGGGATGAGGTCGGATGAGGATGCCAGCATAGGTGGCTCATTTAAGGGTACTGAGGGTTTGGGCAGCTCGTAGGCCTCGAACCTTAGGGCATGGTGCGTGGACGGCTCGTGATCTTCGTGGAGCTTGAAATTGCTGACGCTTGACATCCCTTGGCGCTCGCTCTCGGGGATATAAGGCTGGGCGCCATTTTCGAGCGACTTTTGGACGTAGGTGTTGAGAAACGAGAGATTCTTGTCCATCTGGAAAATGATAGAANAAAAAAAGAACATAGTAGATATGCAGACATTCAGAATATCATACAGCAAATCTCGCCAACATCATGCCAAACATTTCTTCTCCAAATCAAATTAGCTGGTTTGTGACTTGAGAGACTTGCAAGTTCGAATCAAGTAATTTCAAGGAACAAGGTCCAAAGATTTCTTCTTGTTTTTCTGGGGTGGGGGTTGGGGGAGGGAAGTTAGTACATAAACAAAAAACTAGCTAGTGTAGATGTCACATTTGTATTTTCGTAAACGATTGTAAGTCAAGCACCAATTTGTTATTAGTGCCCAAACACCAAAAGTGAGCATGAACTAAAGCTTAATGCTGATAAAATGTATTACCTCAATGTCATCACAAGTGGAATCCCTTGGCATTATTTTCTCAACAGCATGGGCATCTAAACTAAGAATTGCTTGGAGTTCATAAGCACGCTGCTGAAGGTCAGTTGAATGAGATGCTAACAAATCTTCAATCAACGATTGGCACTGCAGCATGCAAGAAGATAGCCATGAGGAAATCTTTCAACATAATTCAAGGAATCATAAAGCTGGAAACTAAAACATGTATGTCAATAAATTAATAGAAATTCTCATGCAATAACACCAGCAAAAATCAATTTCTACAGCTCCAGCAATATCATGTCTAGGGTATATCAGTTGCAGAATTCTGCCAAACACATAAATGATAGAAACATGCTTGAGACACAGGTATAAAGTTAACTATGGCAAACATTCCTAAATGCGTACCTCAGACAGTATGTCCACAGTTCTCCCAGCAGCTATTTCAAATGAATGTATCTTCATAATTGCTGAAACTGCATACGCCTTCAGAACAAGACAGAAACAAGGAATTACAGAGACAAAAAAATTTATCAGCACGGAGTCATGCTGCAAATTCAAGCTTGAAAGAATGAGGCAACCAAGAGACGGTGTTTACTAAACTACTGGTCCTCTTAAAACATAAAATCACATGAAAACTTCAATATTCTGTATCCCTTTTCCAACCTATAGATCTAGCTTCAGTCGTAGATTTCATTACCCAAGATTTTTGAAATGATAAATTTTCAGTTTTACATGTAGGAGTATACATTAGGAACAATTCTTCTTTTTTCCGAAAGTGAAACAAAACAGAAAAGAATCTACCAGATCAATTCTTTTGCAGAAAGGCAAAATCAAGAAAGGTTATATGCAAATATATATCAGATCTAAATTTTTAATTGTCCAACATAAAGAAACACATTTATATAAAAATTCTATCAAAGTAGTAATACACAAAAAATAAGACATCATGCACAATACTACACAGCACGATAAACAAGCATAACGCTACCATTTCAAATGCAATTGCACATGATAAAGCAAACCCTTACTTGAACGGTATGATCTTCTGGATGTGCATCTGCCACATCACACAACTTCCCAGTGATATATGAGGCAGAATACTTCCCATCAGCAGTCCCGTATTCGCCCAAGACCCAACATATCACCTTCAAAATAAGACATTTAAGGAAGCAAAGCGTGAGGGAGATTGAGTGAGACACAGAGGCAGATCCAATAACAAGGCAAACCTGAAACTGAAAATAAATAAGGAAGCAGATGCAAATCTATGGATAGAAGAACATACACACACACACACACACAGAGAGAGAGAGAGAGGAAGGAAATCACAATGTGATATAACATACTTGAAGGAAAGCAGATGGAAGTGTTGGCTCCCCCATAATTCGAAGATAAGACTCCACCTGCACCCCAGTTATCCAGATTCTTCTTATAAGTGCTAAAATGAGCCAATAAATTTTATCCACAAAAATCAAATTCGGTGAAAGATATTTGTAAGATTAATAGCTAATTTATAAAAACAATGACAAATTAACAATTTAGGAACAAAAATATCTGTATGTGACAAGATCAGCAGCAATTTAAAACACCATCTCAGAAACAAGAGAGTGATGATAAAAGGTCATTCTTCTTCGGCAGTGGTTGTTAAGACCAAAAAATAACTCGTCTATTCTCAACTTCCCCAAGCTTCAAGTGTGCGGAGAGTGCAAGTCTTTAGACTTGCACTAACACCATTGAATTGACCCTACTTTAGAAAATAAAAAGGAACTTAAATTATAGTAAATGAAAATTATGTTGAAACGTGTGGTATCAAAATCTCCCATGTTTATCTGCAGCATCCTCAACAAGACAAGACATAACTAAGAACATGCCAGCTAAGCCACTGAGATGGTACAGTTTGTGAAGGTAAACGGAACCAGGAAATCAAAATCTTTTCTATTCAGTAGCTTTTTGCCTTGAACAGCAGGTAAGTTCTTAAACTTCATAACAGCCAGACTCATACATTTCTCATGTCCGAATCCCAAAGCAGCAATGCACATACTTTTCTGCAATTCTTTTATAGCAGTAGGATTAGCATAGCACTAATTCCTTCTGAATCTAAAAGAAAATTGACATTTAACTTTCTTCAAGTCTTAGAAAGACTTAATATTAGTTTGAAAACCAAGAATAAGAATGTCCTGAAATCTAAAGGGAAAAACATCAGTTAGTGGCCTCTTCAATAATCCCCAGCCAAATGAGTTTTTTGTCCAAACCTAGTAGATAGTAATCTATTTGTTTATTTGTTTCCACATGTCATGATAATTGACCAAATCAAATAGCAAAAAAGGCTTACATAGTTACTGTCAATGAGCTTTCTTAAAACCAATTACAGCTAGACGTGGATGTAATATAATATAATGCTATATTAGTCTATTACATCTTGTTTCCAATAAGAACCATTTCACATCCTGACTTGACTCTTTCTAGTTTTATCATTCTCGAAGAGATATTTACCCTCTTACCTATAAAAAACACAGCAAATACAATAACTGAAACAGTATATAGGCATATCGACATATACCAAGCTAAGTGTGATGGAAAAACCATAGTATCTCAAATAATCAATGAGAATATCTTCAATAGCAAGATGAACTCAGAAGATACGTAAAACATTTAATTGTTTGAAGCGAGACAAAAGGACCAGAACAAAACTCGGATCCTAAATGAGAACATACAGCTGATGACCTAAGCTGACTATCTGCAGTATCATCATCTTCCCCAAATCCCTCAGCAATCAATCGCATCAAATTATGTGCAACTTTGGCATTTACCAGGTCCCCTGCGTGCTCAAATACTCTATTCATGGTCTGACAAATAAAACAAGGAAAAAACAAACAGAAAATCAAAACTCTTTAAATTTATAATAAATATTAAGAGACAAATTAGTATGAAAGTCACATCACTAAGCTAACCTGTATAAACCATTGGTTGCTTGGAGCAAATTGTTCTGCAAGTTCGACACATCTGGACGCTATTTCAGTTTTATAGTGATTATCACTTATGCTTATCATGTACTCAATCATACGGTCCACAATTACTTCTACATTTGATGACTTGGTCATTTTATACAGTAATTCAAACGTTTTGCGCTTTAGGGTATCATCTGGATCCTGAATCAACAGAAGTCCAGGTTACAGCTCAACCACAAGCATACATGTATTTAACAGGAATTGCAGAATAAACTGTAGAGCCAAGTCAAGTTTTCATTCAGGGGAAAAGCGGGGGAGGGGGGAGAACAAGAATGAAGAAATAAAAATTACATAATATTAATAATGATAATGATAATACCAATAACAAAAAGAGGAAACAAATGTCAGGAGAATCCATACACAAACTAGCACTAGCGTCCAAATCTGACCACAACTACATTAATTAAAAAACAATGCAATTACCACTCCAAGTCATTGTTGTTCATTCTACGGCATGTTTGAAAATGTAACTGTATAAGTTGATTCCAAAAGGCAATCACAACAACCCTGTCAAATTTGGCTCCCCCTAACCTCCATAGTCTTTTTAAGTTTCTAAAACTCTTCTAGTGCCAGCTTTAAATTCCTTATTTGATTCCTTTTGAATTACTGGTAAGCATATGAAACTTAATGCGAAACTCTATAAAGAGCATGTGATCGTGCCACATTATGACAAGAATAAGCGGCAAACACACATTATTTCTATTTTGCATAGGAGAACTATGAGACTGACAAGAATGCAAGCATGTCAATAACAAACAAACCAGAAACTTTTAAACAATTCTGCAAATGACATCAAATCGAAAATTTGCTTTTGCGAAAAATGGGGCAATTTATCTCACCTCTAAGCAATCAATGACAGCCAGTTGATGCTGTTCCGCTATTTCTGGGCTTATCTTTATCAGTCTACTAAGAGCATCAATACCAAGATATTTCAGATTGTGGCTGTCGCTCTATCCATCGGATATACATCTAGTTAGTGTTACATTATCAAATTAAAAATTATCATTCAATCTCAAAATAATATTAACCAAGGTGCAAAATTCAGACCTTCAGAAATTTTGAAATGGCGTCCGCAGCAGCTTCTAGCAACTTAGGGTTCGGGTGTAAGGATGAAACACAGCACACACTCTCATAGAGAATTGCATTACCTATATTCGTTGTTGAGTCACATTTTCTCATAATGTCTCCAACAATTGTGTACATTTGTTCACTGGCCTTTTTGTCCCCACTACCTAGTAGGGCCAGAATTTTCAACAATTTGATCTGTCAAAAGAAGAGAAAGGCAATCGAAATTAGTGCTAAGTGTAATATGAAAGCATAAAGAAAAGTAATTCAATATAGGTTACTTCTTTGCAAAAGCCTATAACTATGTAGAAATCTGCATTTCTGATCTCTGCAGTTAAATAACCTCTAGCTTTCTCACAATACAGTTAGTTTTTTTCCCCAGTGCCATTTCATTTTCTTCCAGGCCATTTTTGCCAATGCTTGCTAACAGTTTGGAAAACATTCTCATATACAAGTACATATAACCAGCAACCTCAAGATAACTATATCATGATCAAGCTTTAAACAATGCATTGAGCCTAAGTCAACTTGGTGTCTGGATTAGACGATTTCCAACAATTGGTTTCATTTTAGTTTTGCACTAAAAATCAGTGAGCATTTTATATATCATAGACATGCATGACTACAGTGAAAGGGGAAACAGGCTAACCTGAATGAAAGGAGCAGGCATTTGATGATAGTCGTAACTTTTTGGTAGTCTCCGTTCAGCTACTTGTTTAAGAATGTTAACGAAACTAACGACTAAATCTTTATACGTGTCCGCATCAATTGCAATAAGATCAAAAAGTGGGCAAAGCGTCGCACCCATAACACCAGGATCGTTGTCACAAAGCCTCTGGAACAAAACCCCAATAGCTTAGTTTCCTTAGCACTTGAGATATTAGCCAACAAAATTTTAATCACCTATCATCATATTATATCAGAAGTCTGAATAGCCATCTTTCGATAGTAACAAGACAAAAACAGGGGCTTGATTTTGTTATACATTGTCCTGAGCTATCTTCGTTTCCTCTTGCAGTTGAAAGTACAAATAGCAATAACTACAGAGATGTATACAAAATATTTAAAAATTCATACAACTTCATGATCACATTTAAGCAATCCAAGTGAACTTGCCTCGCATCCAATTATGAAGAATTCAAGATTCTAGCATGATAAGTCATCAAATTATGTTATTCATGTCAGAGACATAATCCATAAAAAAAAGTTCTTCCGTCCTCCCTGAGCGTTTCTGATCTGCTTCTCTGTTTCATGTTTATATTTCTTACAAGTACTGGCATAAATTGAGTTCTCGACCTTTTTTAACAGTTTATAATTTCTTTAGTTTGCGACTTATCAGCTCCTGGAAACACACAACTAAAACACTCCAATTTTCCACCATTGATTTGCATACTCGTTCAGAAGTATGATTTTAAAATCTGAGAAACACAAAGGTCTCACACACACCTGAGCATTCAAAATGTGTCCTAATCGCATGACTAAGGTGGAAAGAACCATCAAATTCATCCAAATGGGAAACAAAGTAAGAGAAACTAACTACTGTGAACACCAAAACTCCAACTAAAACATACACCCACACATTCAACTGCAAATCGAGATTATGCACCTTACGGAAATTGGAAATGAGATGAGAAACCGATCCAGGAGCCCTCTGAAAGAAACCGTGAAGTGCCATCACAGCTTTCTTCCTTACTGTCTCCTTCTGATGCCCCAACAGCTCCACAACCTGCGGCAGTACCGCCGGGATAGTTTCCTCATTGATCAATCGGCACACGGCATTCAAGGCAGCACAAACAACCAGATAGTTGTCGCTCTTCAAGTCCTTCTGCATCGTGTTCACGATCAAGATAATCAAATCGTGATCCTCATTCAGAAACAGAGTCACGGCCAGATACCCGGTCCTCTTCAGCAGCAGATTATCATCGTGCGTCATCTTGACGGCATGGATGTACCCGAAAGAGGCATCATGGCCGAGCATCTCGACATAGAGGAGGCGGATTAAATACTCCTTCAGCTTGAATTTAGGGGTGTTGGGATCCGACAACCTGGACTTCAAGGTTTCGATTTCGCGCACCACAATGCGGTCCTCCTCGGCCTTGGATCGAGACTCGCCAATGGATTTGATGAGGTCGAGGAACTCTTTGGACTGCCCAAATCCGCCTTGGGAGCCCATGGCGAGCTCCCGGCCGATCGTCTTTAGCTGCTCCAGCTTTGGCGATGATTGCAAATTTCAAGCGCCTTGGATCAATCTGAAGCGAAGTGGACGAAATCCGAGTACGGTGAGGAACTTGTGAATTGGTTTGGGTTTAGGGTTTGTACAAATTGGGGAAGATCTGGAGAGAGAAATCAGGCCAGGAGAATGAAATGTGTGTAACGTGTTTCTCGTGTAGTATGTAGAGTGATGGATGCTTGATGTACTTTTGCGACGTGTATAGAGAGAGATGAAGAAGACGACACTTCGAAGGAAAACATTTTCGTGCACTGCTAATTTCTGCCGAATTTCTGTTATACTGTAGAGAATTATTTTATTTTTAATTATATACAGTGTTGATATGTGTTAAGTATCAATATAAAATTTTAGTTAAGACCATCTTTAACGGTGACCCATGGGTCACCAATTAAAAAAACAAAAAATATATATAAAAAAAAAAAAAGAAAAGCAAGGAAGGTCACAAAAAATGAGCGACCCACGTCACATTGTGACCTTGGGTCGCGACCCGTGTAGTGTTTGGAGTATGACATTTGTCCTATTTTGATTGAATAAGTGTATTTTTTTTATTTAAAAAAAATAAAAATGATATTAAAATTCGTATTTTTTCAGTCTCTACAAATAGAGACCACACTTGATATATTTTGGAATAAAATTGTAATTTTTAAATAAATTAAAATACAATAAATATTTAGATTGAGTTGAGTTGGGGATAAAGATAAATTAAGTTGTAAGGTTGAGTTGTGTAGATGGAGGAGAGAGAAACAATTTTTAATTATTAGGTTAGGTTGGGTTGGGTTGGGTTGGGGATAAGAATAGTCTAAGAGAATTACGAAACATGTATAATCTATCTATATATATATAATTGCTAGCTAAGCAATAAATTTTACCTAATAAATAAAATCTAATAAATTTTACCTATGTGGCAAATCATTAATAAAACCTTATAAATAGAACCTAACAAATTTTATTTATGTGGCATTAATACACCCAATCTCATTAATAGGAAAATATTTCATTACATTTTTTGGGTTAATTAAGACAAAAACTATTATATTTTATGTTAATTGATTAATAATTATATTTTTTATTGAATAATATAATAGTTAATATTAAAATTAGTAATCATATTTTATACTAAATAATATATGAAAGTTACATAAAATTATATTTTACACTAAAATCAATATTTTTTTATATGATGAAGATGTTGTTTATTAATAAATTAATTTTTTTTATGTCATAGTAAAATTTCTTAAAATCACATAAGCAATTGTTATAATAAATGTAATATTTTTCAGCTAATTAATTGATCATGATCACTCAAAATTATAAAAAGTATATATTTGTTGCATTTTATGCAATCAAACTCAAATCGTGTGTACTATTTATTTTAACCAATGATCAAATTTTAAATATAATACTATTATATAATTTATAATTTTAATATTATATACATAAATATAACTTATAATACTATATGTTTGAAATATAATACAATTATATAACTTATAATTTTTATATTATATACATAAATATAACTTATAATATTTAATTTTATTCACATCTGTGCAAATGCACAAGGTCGAATACTAGTATATATATAATTAGGGGCAAAATGCATTTAAGAAAACCTCATAAATTTTACCTAGTTGGTTTTCCCGCCAAAATAGGTTACTTTTCAATTAATTTTTATTTTTCTTTTTTTTATTACAAAAACAGATACGCTTTGGTATTAATGTTACCGTGTTAAAATAGGCAACAAATCTTGACTGTAGCCGTTACAAGTTGAAATTGACCCAGTTATGTATAGAATTTTTTTATTCAAACCTTGACTTGGTCAGCACATTAATCATGCCAAAATAAACTGAATAATTTTTTTTTAAACTTATTTTATATTGATCGATTCTATTAATTAAGCATACAAAACAAAATGAATAACTATTAAAAAATACAACACATATCAAGGATCAATAGAATCGCAAAAAACAATAACTTAGTGTCCTCCATTCCATGATCAATAGAATCACAGAAAACATTAATTAAATCTCCTCCAATCTCAATCAGCTCCTGCAAACATGAAAAAAAAAAAATATTAGTTATATTTTTGTTATGTCAGCACAAAAGTTGTACCCACCTATGAAACCTATCAGTCAGCCACAGAATCAATTACAGTGTATCCCATGGATTACGCACATGACAAAAAATATTATTAACTACTCTTTTGATATATATCAACAAAGTGATTTATGCACAAAATACTCCCTAAATCCCACGAATTAGGCATAATTTCCAGTTTCAAATGTTTGTAATTACAAATCTTCTACATCGTATAACAATATAAATATGTATTCAATTCATTCTATCACTACACCAAAATCGAGCTCTCAAAACCACACTTTGTTTTTAATCTTCAAATCATTTTCAGCAATCAGTTCTAAATGGCTGCCAAAAATTTTGACAACCTCACCATGCTTGATGAAAACAAAGACAAAGACATTCTTCTACGATTGGTTCGTTTTTACAAAAAATGGGATTCTGAAAATCCTTTTCAAATAAAAAGTTTTAAATTTGTCTTCCATGATTTTGAGGTAACCATAATCTTTTACTATATTTTATTATCTTCTCCTTTTAATAAGTCGTTTTAATCTAACAATTTTATTTACTTTTTTTATAGGGTGGTCGATTCCATACTTCAGCCCCAGGGAATCTGCATGCAAAATTTGAAGGAATAAATTTTGAAGAAGGCCAACTCTATGCCTTAACTTGGTTCAGAAAAAAACGGGACAACAACAAGTTCAAGACAACAAACAATCTTGGCAAATTTATATTTTATCGAGATACACAACTGAATTTAGTTGAAGACCCATTCTTTCCAAGAAAGGTATTCTTTTTTTTTTTCGAAACGATAGAGATATTATATATAAAAGAGCACAAATGTGCGAAAGTACAACCACTAGCTGAATACATACAGCCAACGGCTGAATACAACCAGCCAACAGCTGAAAAACTGGGAGGACAGCCTAAAGACTGCCTAGAACCGACCCCAACAGGGAAACCTAAAAACTCAAACACCACAACAACACTGAAAAACTAAATAAAACTATAAACGGCCCCAACAGGGTAATGCCCGAGTGTACGGTCCCAACAGGATAATAAAGTCACACTCGGGCTAACTGAGGCCAACGGCCCAAACCTAAAACACAGACAACACGAACAAGAACAAACAAACGAAACATACGAATAACAAAAACTACAAAAAACACACGACAAAGCCAAACAAAAACTAAAAGCGAGGCCCTCCCTCGGCAGCACGTCCAAATTGACCAGCAGACATAGGCCAACTCCACGGAGAGAACCGAAGCACAGGAACCACGCCCGCCACTGCCTAATGCCTAGCAAAGACGAGGGCCTGAACCTCGAACCAATCCGGAAGAATCGACCCGCTCTACGACTGTATGAAGCCACAATTGCCCTCCAACCGGCTAACACCACTAGCCCAGTCCGACACCATCCCGAAGTCGACTAACACCACTAGCCAAAATCGAGAACGGCTGGCCTCCCTCGGTCTCCAAATCCGAGAACAAGGAAGGAAGAGGATCGAATGGATACAAAGCCCCAATGAACCTACATAGCCCAGACGAGCGAGACGCTCTCCACCCAGCCCTATAAACGACACCCAGACCCCCTCTCCCCAGCTACACCGAGATGCCGGCGACCAGAACACACACACCGACCCCGACTGGAGGAAAAGATTGAGTACAGACTCAGGACCCGGTCGGAAAAACCGCCTCAGTCCGGAGAGAACATAGGCCGTCCGAGCCACCACCATCTCCAGACCCAGAACTCCTCCTTCCAAACTACTTTGGGACGCCGACGGACCTAGTCCAAATTCAACCCCCTTTCACGGCCCGATTCGAAGAGGCCGTCTGAACCCCTAAGCAATCGACGGAAGAAATAGAGCCCCTCGACTGGAACATGGTAGAGCAGCGAAGAGCCGTCCGCCGCCAATTCGGGCGGCGGCAGAAGGAGGCTATGAGCGGCGGAGATTGACGAGAAGTAGGGTTCGGCGAATTGGGGATTTTTTTAGCGACAAGAGAGAGGATGTCCTAGGCCTTGGGAGTTGGTAGTGTCCAAGAAAGGTATTCAACTTCAAGAGTTTCAATGATTTGATCAATGGCACCAACATTGTCCCAAATCAACTGTTCGGTACGTATTTTATTTTGCGATTAAATAAATTATTACTATTTTTTCAAACAACTTATTAACTGTTTATTTTTTAATTTTTTCAGATATAATTGGTCGAATCATTATGTACCAAAGTATACGAACAGCTACGTCGAAAGGGGTTGAAAAAAAATACATAGAAGTTCTCCTAGAAGACTTGAGGTATTATATAATATTAATCTATTTTTAAAATTACAAAATTGGGTAACAATTTTATTTATAATTTGTTTCTTCATTGTAATGTTTAGTGGTCATACCATAACTTGCACACTGTGGGAGAGTTACGCTGATCAAATTATGGAGGCTTACAAGCATTATACCCCATCCGAAGTCCGACTTCTAATAATCCAAATATGTCGGGCCAAGAAGTTCAACAATGGTACATTTCAAAATTCAGTCACTATTCATTTTTCTTTAATATCAACCATTTATCTTATAATAGTTATTTTTTAATTTCTAATTTTCTTGAAGGTCCGATTACAATTTCCAATGCTTACGACACCACAAAATTGATAACTGGAAGCGACATTCCGAAAATTATGGACTTCAAGGAAAGGTAGTTAATATTATTATTTTTAGAAAAGTAAATACTATTTAATCTAGAATAGTATTTCACTACTTTAATTTTCAATTCTCAAGGTACAAGCTTATCATTTGGCCGAGCCAATCATCAAGCATAACAATGAAATCTTATCTTTCGAGTGTGTGCAATGATTTGGAATCCGATAATGCGGCTTTCCAAACTATCGAAGACTTCTGCTCATCGCAAGAGG